GGATGTACTGGTGGTGTATGGGATAATGGCTCGGATTTTTTAATTGGTGAACCAAGTTCAAATTCCAATTCAGGTTGGGTTCGTTATATCCACTTACGCGCCAATAACCTTGCGAAAAGTATGAATCCACCACTTCTTCCCCCTGCTATGAGTTAAATAGTAAATTGTGTATCACTAAACCATTATTATCTCCCCTAAATGATTATATTTTCAGAACATTTTCTTGCTTTAAATAGCATGTAATGGGTTGATTAAGATACAGAAAATGAATGAACTAATCAATCGATTTAAAACTTCATCACATTTTCCGTCCGTTTTATTTTCTACCTTTTTTTGTTGAACAACCACATTTCTGTTGCTTCAAGTTTCATCTTCGTCAGTGATAAGACTGTCGACCATTCACTTCCTTATAGCACGACTGATAATATATCACAGAACAGTCGTCTTTCTCTTGTCACACGCGAAACTTTCCCCCTTTTTTTTATAATTAGCTTAACTTCTTTTTTTAAGCATTTTACCCCAACCAAGGCAGAGGTGACAATAGTACGCAGGGGTTGGTGGGGGGGTTACAGAAAGTGAAATAAGAGAAAAGACTGGGCATAGGGAAGATTTCGGAAAGGATAAAAAGAAGAACGCGGGATCAAGACATCATAAGAAGATGTCGACTTACGTTGAATTTAATTTTTTTAAAATGGTAATTATCCGAGGAGCAAGTAAGAGGAAGGGAGGTCCACTGTCGGAAAGTGCGAGTGTAAAAGAGCCGGTTACATTTAATTGTTTCAACAGTAAAAGGGTAGGACCTAGATACTAACTAGTAGCACGATTAAATTCATGTAGTCGAGGCACCAGGTAAAATAGCTCACCAGAACAGTTGCCATGAATATATATGTAGAAAAAACAGAGGGAAGACATATCTTTGAGAAAGTGACTGGAGTCGAGATGCCAAGTTGGGACCGACTACATTGCAGATCCTTCTTTGGATTTTGTCGAGGACCTCAAGATGAACAGCAGGGGCACCAGACCAGATATGGCAACAATATTCCATGCAAGGACGAATGGTAGATTTGTAGATGTGTCGGATGGACTCAGACAAGAAAGAAACCTTCTGGCATGACACAGAGAAACAACATTTCTTGCGGCTGGAAAGTATCTTTCGCTGTCCCAATGTGTCTTCAGATTTTGATGTCGCATTTTTCCCGTGTTAAAAGACCTGCTAGACATTTAAATTTTTGCCCTTGTTTAAATTTGTCGTCTCCAATTTGCAATTCGCATATTGGGCTACCCCTTTTGCTGACAACATCGATATAGAATTCAGATTTTAACTAATATTTTTTTTTATTTATCTTATCAAGTTGTTCGTATCCCACATCGTTTCAGTACTAATTTAGGAAGAGAATAAAGAAATGGCCAGAAAAAGAGAGTGCGATGGAGAGACAAGAAGACAGACAGACAGACAGACAGAGATCAATCTGTGCGAAAAGTAATGTGTCATAAGTAAAGTGTCCAAATGCAAAAGTTATATTTTTGTTGTGGAGTGATTTCACAGTGGAGGCTTGAATTTGTACTAAGTCGGTCCTAAAATAGTTTCGACGTACAAAACGTTAGGAACTTTATATAATAGGTATAACGCAGAGTAATCTAGTTGTGGTCGCTGATACTTTAGTATTCGACTAACTGACGTCCGACATCGACTGACTCACCGACTGACCGATTCATTCGTTACTCTTACTTATTATAGGCGGGAGAGTCTATTAACTATAGAATAGGAGTGTTCCACTATAACAATTTTTTTTTAAGAACATAAACTTCATTAGCAATACAAGAAAATCCGTATGAAACTTTAAATCTGCTATTCGACCTTGCACTGAATTGTACTGTCATATCTGGTTTACTGCTACTGTTATGTATCTCAAGATTCGTCAGAGGAAGAGTCTGTAATATTATCGGTCCTACCATGGCACCTCGACGTCAGTTACTTTCCATCCTCCCGTGGTGTGACTTGTGGGGCGGGTATATTGAATCAGTTACTAAGTGTGTTGCTAAGAAGGTTGGTTCAGTATTGTGCAGTATATGTTTTTTCTCATCAGAATGCATCTTGCACATTTATAACTCCACCATTCGTTCAAGCATTGTATAACTCTTATATCTGCTATGCGGCTCCGGTTATATACCTCGAGATTCTTAAACTTAATATGACTAATCGTTATGATGGTAATTTTGGGGAACGCATCACATGATAATTATTTTAAAATTAACTGTTGTAGATATGGTATGGTGTTTTTTTTGGTAAACAAGCATCCACAATATAAGGGGGCTAACCAGAGATGACAAAAATAAAATGGAAATGTTATTAAATGTGGGTCAGATGCTTTAAATGCTCTCTAATATTATTGTTCCTGATATGGCATCTTGACTTCACTTTCCCCGTCGCTTCTCTCTGTCTTTTCTACAAATACTTTCACGGTGACTGCCCCGACGAGCTACTTTCGCTAGTTCTCAGACTGCATGAATTTAAACGTGCTACTAGCTCGGCATCTCAGTCCCACCCTTTCACTGTCGAAACGGTTAAATGTAACCATCTCTTCCAATTCAATAGCTTCATGTCTTGCATTTCCCCTCTGTAGAACTTCCTTCGTCTTACTTGCTTTCCTGATAGCTATAATCTCTAAATATTCAATTGCAATGTCAATCGACATCTCCAGATGCCTTGATCTATTTCTCGCCCTTCTCTTCATCCTTTCCTCTATCACGCCTCTTTACACTTGCGTATTTGTGATACCCCCGCCTTGCTTGGGTTAAAATGCTTACAACAAAAAATCCCTTCCTCACTCTGGGGCGTTGCTTTCGACTTTCTTTTCTATAAATATTTCCATGTTAGTTGTTTTATTAAGCTCTCTTTTCCTTGGTACCTCGAACGCATGATTTTAAGCATAATAATAAGTCACATCGTTTTAATGTTGAATTAGCTTAACAGAATTACTGTAAGTTTTATACGCATACTTTCTTATTTACATTATTCGGACAATTGTCCTGATATTTGTTGCCATATTTATCAGAACGTTTCAGCCACTCTGCCATGTATCCTTAAGGACATATGGCACAGTGGATAAAGGCGTTGGTTAGATCCAGTGACAGGACCAAAAGAGTTGTGAGTTCAATACCTGGTTAAGGCAGAGGAGAAGTTGGAGCGGGGAATTAACAGTAGATAACTGATAACTGACATCCATTAGACATGGCCCGTGGAAATAGAACAGTTTACCCCAGCGATTGAAATAAATGGATCGGTTCGACATTCGGAAGAAGGCCGGAGCGTACAAAGGCCGAAACGTTGTGATAAATATGGCAACAAAGATGATGACAATTGTCCGAATAATGTAAATAGTGTATATAATACCTCATCTCAGAAATATAGACTGATACTCATAGTTTCTTTTCTCGCACATCTCGTCTGTGCAATTTTTTCTCGTTTCTTGCTTTCCGGCCATCCGCAATCTTTTATTGTCATTTGTCTCCAGTAAAGTCTTCTCATTCTCTTTCACTAGCAGTAACGTCTGGCATCTTAGCGTCATTATCACCTTTCATCCGAAACTACGTATTTTACCTGAGATTGAAAATCGAAAGTTTGATGATAAAAGCAGAACAAAAATAAATAAATAAATAAAGCTGACATTGAAAATAGAAACAAAATAAGTGAAAGAAAAGATGATTTCTTTTACAAAACCAAAAAATTAATAGAAAAAAAAAAACAATTTCTGGTGATGTGTCTGGAGTTTTGAAGGGGTAGCTATGTCTTTTCTTGACCAGGGATATGATAATAAAATTATATGAGAGACAGGAACACGAGAAAAGGGAAACAAAGAGTGTGTGTGCTTGCGCATGTTTTTGTGTACGTATATGTGTGCATATAAGTGCGTGCGTGTGTGTGTGTGTAAGTGCAAGAAATAGTGATGTGGGGAGAGAACAGATGCAGAACTGGCAACAATGTTGCCACACATTGTTGCAGGTACATGATCTTCTTAGGCTTCGAGATTTTCCGAAAAGGCAGTGAAAAGTTGAAGTTGCTGAGAGATGAGGACAAAATATCGATTTCCAGTTTAAGGAACAGTTGGCTGCCGATTGAAAAAATCATAAGTCTGCGAAAAAGGAGGTGAAACAGTCATATATATATATATATATATATATATATATATATATATATATATATATATATATATATATATATTAAAGTCCGACAAAGTCCGACAATTTATTTTATTAAAGATATTTTATGTTTAACGTTCTTTTTTTTACTTAAATACTTGTATCTATAAAAAAGAACGTTAAACATAAAAATGTTTTTAATATATATATATATATATATATATATATATATATATATATATATATATATATGAGTGTAACAGCAAAATTGTCCAATTGTCAGATTAAGCTCTGAACAGTTGTATCTTAGAAAGGATTAAAGATATCTTACTAGAATTCTCCGAGATATTTATAACACTATTGGACTCTACGTTGTGCAATAAGAATGTATAATTTCTCTCTAAGCTCAAGAGAAGAATCGTGGTGACTCCATTATAAACAAAAATGCCATGTTCATCATTAATTAACCAATGATCGGAAGCTTATGAAAGATCGAAATAAAGACGTAGACTCTTCCAGCAGCCACACTCTTGGCACTTGCTGTGTTGAGTCTGGGGACCTCACCAGAAAATTCGAGAGTTCTTTTCTTTTCCGTACGATCAGAATGAGTTTTCCCAGCTGCTGTCCCTTCGTAATCACCATTAGACTTACCAAACTCTTTCTGGACCCTCTACACTGAATGCTCGTACGGGAGTTTCCGGCACGAATGCCAAGCAATAAAACATATCGTTTCCAAATTTCTGGCGCAGTGAATTGCGTCATGGCGTTCTTTTTCTCACAGACGGTGCCCAACTGAACCTACTATAATTTACTCTCGACAAAATCAAAAACAAACAAAGCTCATGGGCGACATTAAACTA